CCACCACCATCAGTTTCACCCCCTCCGCGCCTGAGGGGAGGGTGAGGAGCCGGGTTCGCTGGGAGCCGGCCCCGGCGTGAGGTGCAGGCAGCGATTTAAAAATAAAATTCAATAACTTAAAAGTCTTTTAAAAAGAAGAGAGAACTTCATAGACCCTTGGGGGGGGGGGGGCGTCCTGGAAGAGGGGGAGCCTAAGCCGAGCCCGGCGCCTCACCTGGCCCCCCCCCCTCTCCTCCCGGTGGGATTTGCATTAAAAAAAAAAACCCACCTCCTGTTGCTCTGTGCACTCTTTCCACTGACAGGATTTTTCCTAATTAGGGCGTTTGTTTGCTGCATAAACCCCCTAAAAAAAAAAAAAAATCGTGAGGGTCGGTTGGGGTTTTGAGGGGTGGTGGCTTTTTGATGTATTGTTATTTTTCTCGTCTGTTGTTATGTAGATGAGAGTAATTGCATTCCTAGTAGATGCTCGCATGCCTCCTGCTGCGACAGAAGGCAAAAGTTCAGCAGCCAGGTAGGGACCGAGTGCCCTGGGCAGGGTTTTATTTCTGAGATAAGCCTTGAGATGAGGTAAAAAAAGAAAAGAAAAGAAAAAAAAAAAAAGGCGGCTCCAGACAGCTCTGGGGTTTGAAGGCTCCAGTCTGAGTCGCCAGCCTCTTAAAATCCTGCCTTTAAAATAGCCAAACTTGGGCAATCTCATTGTGCAAAAGGGAAACCAGATGTTGGGAGAGAGAAATAACATGAACCACATCTCTTAAAGGAGAATAAATCGCTGTTAATTCTTTAAAGCGTGTATTTTTCTGTAGGGTGTAACCGGCACGTTGGGTATCTGAAGTCAAACGTTGGGTTTGTCTGGGCTTGAGTCATGACTCGTACAAACCTCTGGGTGCCAGGGACTGAGTTGCTATCAGGAGCCACTGGAGTTATCAGCGGAGCGTGAGGCCAGATTTCTCCCTTGGGTGCAAACAGCCTGTTGAATTTGAGAAGGGGGAAGGTGGTAATCTCCATCCCGACGTATCAAACCAGAGGCTGGTCGTTGAGTTTGAGTGCAGACAGCCCTTTTCCTGAACAGAGCTTGAGATTCAATGATCTCCTTGCACGTGAATCTTAAGAAAAAAGAGTCAGGTGGCGATGATTTCTGGTAGGAATTAATCAAAGTGTTGACTAAAACCTTCTGTGCGTGTTTGGCTTAATAGGAAAAGTTTTGCTGTGCGTGATTTTTAGATTTGTCACCGTGTTTGTCCGCATTGGTCTGAGACTGACACATAAGACATTGCACTCTAGTGATCCTTGTAAAATAAAACAACCCACTAATTATTACCTAGCACGGGGGGAAAGGTTATAGGTGTGCGTGCTGCTGGAGGAGAGTGTTCGTTGCTCAAAAGTACAGCCTGGTTTTGCTCTTTGGAGCAGCAAGGTGCAATCTTTTCACCACGTGAAGAGTTAACCTGCACTTTAGAAGTATTTGAAGAAATTCCACTAGCGTGAAGTCTTGCCTGCCAGCTGAGGCACCAATTTAGCTTTTGCATGTACGTTTATGGGATATTTATATTCACTTCTAATAGAGACCCCTGGAAAAAAAAAAAAAAAAAACCTGAATGGAAGCAGAAGTGCTGTTGAGCTCGCTGAGGTTTTAATTATCTGTCGATGCCGTAATGCTTGACAGCACTAGCTTGCTACAGAAACTTTACAGACATCATTCTAATCTGGGCTTCTGTAAGTAATACAGCGTGGAGACAGGGTAATCATTGTTTGCAAGGGCTTCTGTAAGTAATACAGCGTGGAGACAGGCTAATCATTGTTTTCAAGGACAGAACTAAAAAAAAAAAAAAATCATACTGAGCCAAAGTTATCCGTAGCATGAACTGCACTGAGTTCTCAGCTTACACCACGGCTGGGTTTGACTCTAAGTGGAGTACATGACCCCAAGCTGAAATGCAGATCTTAGAGAAGGTGAAGTTTCTGAGGAGAGGGATTTTTCTTTTTCCCCCCCTCCTCCCTGCCTTGGATCAAACAATATAGTTGGAAGGAGAAGAAGAAGAAACAGATGCGGTTTTTTGGCAGTCGAGCCACTCATGTCTGAGAGCACTCACAGGACAGAAAGTGGGATTTGTTTCTCTTTAAGAGAGGGGAAATGGCCTTTAGCTAAGCTGAATTTATAGCGCACAGAAGTTTTTTTTGGTTTTTTTTCTGTTGGCCAGACACCCCAGGGGAGCACATCGCGTGTACGGAAAACACTCCGGTCACGCCGATCTGTGCGAAATTCCTCCCTCCTCAGAGCAGAGGAGACTTCCCTGGAAGCCTTTTTTTTTTTTTTAACCTTCCAGCCTGTCTTTGCACATCTCGGTACATATCAACCCTTTGGAAAAGTGGTGATTTATAATCCCAGGGAGCCCCCTTTGTACCCTGCCTGTCCCCAACGGAGAGGCAGGAATGTCCTTCTGCCAGACCTTGTGCATATGCATGTGTCGCTTCAGCCCGGCACAGATGTGCTGGGAAGGCATCCACACATGTCCCCTGCCACAGATAGTGTGTCCTTGTGGCTCATATCTGGAAGGGCTGCGGAGCTGACCCTTGAACAGTGAGCTGTGAAAGGCTGTGGAAGCATCCTAAGGCACTGAGGCTCCTTGCTATTAATTTTCACTGTCACGTTTTTCTTTTCCATGCTATTTATATCGCTGGCCTTGACGGAGCTGTGTGTGGCTTATGTCTCTATATTTTCTGCTTACATTCCTGCAGTTTCTTAAGCTTCTTCTTGGCTTGCGTCCCTTTATTCTAGTACACTGATAGGTGGGTTTTCTAGAAGTAAATTACCTATCCTTTTCCTGCAATCAGAAACATCTGTAATTAATTAAAGGTTCCTTGTCTTCTTTTGAGCCTGCTGAATCCTTTTGCTGACTGACTCTGTCCTGAGCTCAGTGACTCATGGTTGGCAAAGGAAAGGAGTGACTGTGGTGTCCCCAGTTTTGTACCTAAACCCAGCTGAGGGTCAGAGTCCCAGGGTCGAGGACACTCTCTTAGAGTTTTTTTCCCCATTTCTATAGGGTAATCTCATAGTTCTGAGATTACCCAAACGTTTCAAGCACGGCTTTGAACACACTTTGTGCTGTGCCAAGAGGTTTTTCTGCTCTGCATCAGTCATAAATTGTTTCTTTTCATGTTTTTTTCTACCCCCTAACCCCGCGACTTTGAAGGCTTAATTCAGTGTGAGCTAACCTCCTCTGTTGCTTAACACCGCGTGTAGGCAGACAGACGGGCCACTCCTCGGGTCATGTTGCTGAAATCAGATCTTACATACGTAGCTTTTATGCTTCCTCAGTCTCATGACTGGAATCCAAGCTCTGTGTGTTCCTATTCCCTTTTTTGTTTTGCTTTCAGCATTTGTCACTTCTGTCGCTCCACAGAAGCGAGGGGTTTGGGCCGCCTTCTCTTGCAAACTCAGGCTGGAAATAGAGGAAATAGAGCTCTCAGAGGAGAGCTTGGCCAAAGTGGTCTTCACCTTTTGAAACATAAGAGGAGGGACTCAACCGTGATTAACAAAAAATGCCTAATAAAGCTTTGTTAAAATTTCTACTGAGCTGAAGTCAAAAAAGTCTGCTTCCGTCAGCTCAGCTGAACTTCACGCTAAGAAACTTGCTTGTGATGATGAGTCACATCCAACCCTTTGCCAGATGTTTGAGAGCACCAGGGCACCTTATCTAGCCTTTCTCCTAACCTTAAGCTCCAAGACCATCTCTTCTTGGCGTCCCATTGTTCTCACCTTTCCTGTACGGTCCGTACAACACAATATTTTTTTTTTTTAAAAAGTAAAATATGTGGGGTTGCCAGCGTGATTTCAAAAACCGATCTGAGCTTAAGCAGCAGGAGGTTTCCATGGGGCGTTTCCTCTTTCTTGGCAGCGTTTTGGTCAGGACAGAATTGAAAACCCTCTGGGCTCCCGGCGGGGATTAGTGGTGTAGAAAAGCAGAAGCTCTATCTTTCAAATCTAAACAACGTTTAAGAAAAATTATGATGACTTGCAGGGGGTGGGGGGGGGAACAGAAGGGGGAGGAAGCTTTGTAAATTCAAAGTTCTAAACTTTATCCCCTTCATGTGTGCGTGTCCCTCGCAGGAATGTTCAGCATGTGGTCATTTGCTATTTGTTAGAATAGCTGCTGAGGCTCTGCTGGGCTCTGACTGCTACTTTTCTCTCCAAAAGAAAATTAAAATGGAAAAACACATTCTTTCTACAAAGGAAAACACGATAAAACAGAGATTCAGATCACAGCTCCATCTTTAGATGACAGTCACTTGCCTCGTGGAGGAGAGCGCTTCAGTCTATTTATGTTCAAACCATAACAGTCCCTCTTGGAGGCCTATTTTGAATTCTGCCTGACGTGTATGTTATCTTGCCTCCTTTACACTGGGCAAACTCTCTGCAGTTTAATTGCAGCCTTAAAGTTCAGACAAATATTTACAGCCTCTGCTTTCCTTTTAAGATGAATGGCTACTTCAAAACACTCTTCTTTGCTGTGTTTCTCACTCCTTAAGTGGGTTGGTGCTTTTTAAACCTGCCTGGGCAGCTTGAGAAAATGGAGTGGGAGTCGCAGCCAGTACAATTTGTTCTCTGCTTTATTTACAGGAGCCAAGCAATAAACGGGTTCGGCCTTTAGCACGGGTCACATCCCTGGCGAACTTGATCTCTCCTGTAAGAAATGGTGCAGTTCGGCGTTTTGGGCAGACAATACAGGTAAAAAAGCAGAGCCTTCCAGTCCCAAAAAAATCCAGAAACATGGGGAAGGTACTGGCTGTGTTGGGGTAAAACAGGCACTGGGATTTCAAGACATCTCTTGAAAAATCTCCTATGTGATTCGTGCAAGGAGAAGAAGCTTGTTTGGGAGTTGAGGATGAAGAAGAGTTCAGAGATAACCCTCAGTAACCTGGTTATCTAGCAAGCTAAAGCAGTAAAAAAAAACCAAAAAAAACCCTGATTCATAGGGAGTATTAGTTGATAAATTGTTCCAGTGCTTGAGATAACGTGTCTTGGAGCATGTGCCTAAATGTGAACTGACTGTTCAGCGATCTTTCAATAACCTTAGAGAGGTGTTGTCTGAGGAGCACTATACCCCACGCACGCAGATAAGAGTGCTTCTGCCTCTGGGTTCTAACAACATTGCAAATCATGAGAGCAAAGTTCAAGTGGCTCCTGATTAGCCCCGTTAGAGGTGGAATTATAGTCTTAGTTTATTTACTTCCTCATACCTTGGAAATAAACCCAAACTTTACCTTCCCATCCTCTTCCCAAGCGCTGCTGCTGGGTCGGTGCAGGGAGAGGCGCACGGAAAAGCTTGCCAGTCTCTGGGCTTTCTCGCTACCCCACGCACGCAGATAAGAGTGCTTCTGCCTCTGGGTTCTAACAACATTGCAAATCATGAGAGCAAAGTTCAAGTGGCTCCTGATTAGCCCCGTTAGAGGTGGAATTATAGTCTTAGTTTATTTACTTCCTCATACCTTGGAAATAAACCCAAACTTTACCTTCCCATCCTCTTCCCAAGCGCGGCTGCTGGGTCGGTGCAGGGAGAGGGGGGGTGAAAAGCTTGCCAGTCTCTGGGCTTTCTCGGCAGCTTGATTAAAGTGTTCCTTTATCTGAGGAAAAGTGTCTGGGTGTGTTTTCCTGCCCTGTACAACAGAGGAGGATGAAGGATTGGGAGGGGTATGGATAATACTGTAATACTTCTCTGCTTCTGAAACGTTGGCCCTACGTATTTTTGTTAAAATTTTATTTTTGTTTTTAAATCCCTACAGTCGTTTGCCCTTCGCAGCGACAGCAAGTCTCCAGGCTGTGCCCAGAAGTCATGTAGCAGATCTGCTGCTCCTACTCCTCCTAAAAGAAGAAACAGCGTGCTTTGGTCTGAGATGTTAGATGTCAACATGAAAGAGTCCCTCAGCACCAAAGAAATTAAACGCCAGGAGGTAGGCAGCCCGTTAAAACAGCGGGGCTGGAAAATGCAGCCCAGACCTTGGCTTGGGCTGTTTCCTTGGAAAGGGGTGACGAGCATCTCTATCTTCCTGTGCACCTTCATTTCTAAACAGCTAGATTTATTTCTGCATTAGGCATGGGAAGAGGTAGGCTTCTCTCTCTTGAGTCACCAGGGAGTTCGTCTCCCCAGTTTGACCCTTTGGAGATGCCAAACTCTTTTCCCTGGGGGTGCTCAGCATTTCTGAAATCCGAGCCCCGGCCGCGCTGGTTGCTTTGCAGCAGACCCCAAGTCGGGTTCCTCGTAAAGCCAGCTGTCTTTTCTCTTAAAGCTCTTGACAATTGGTTGAAAGCCAAATGGCAAGGCCTTGGCTTGCCTTTTTCCTGTAGTTCTTAGACAAATCTTTTACTGACAACACAGAAGCTGACTAAAGACGCCTGGGATTTGACCTCTGTGGTTTTCTGGGTTTTGTTTTTTTTCGTCCTTGCCTGTGTAAAAAGCAGTGATTTAAAAGGCGCTAATATTTAATTTGGCTTGTGCACGAGCGTCAGAGCCTTTCACACAGTTGTAAGTCATGTTGCCTTCTTGGAGCTGGGAAAGCTGGCAGATTTACTTGAGGTTGTCATGCCCAGGTGGCATACAGTGATTCAGATGGCAAAGCCATTCGAGCTGCAGAGACAGGATGTACATTATTGTGAGCTGAAAGGCTCTTTCAGACGAAGACTGGGATTAAAAATGACTCTCGATGCTTTATCTCCTTCCTCACAGGCAATATATGAAATGTCCAGGGGAGAGCAGGACCTAATCGAAGACCTGAAGCTGGCCAGAAAGGTGAGTGGGGTTTGGTATTTTTCTTGCAGTCATTAATAATTTTACAGCTAATAGTGACGTTTATTTGCACCTGCAATCAATACGTATCAGCTTTTTGAGGCCCAGAATCCACAGCTGGCCTGGAAAGCTGACGTCAAGCAGCCCTTTAGTACTGGTTTAATTGTAACAAACCCAGCCAAAAAAGGATTGTGCTTTGCAGTCCTACAGAGCTGGTTGGGAAATCCCTCTCCCAGAGGGAGAGAGGGATCAGGAAGGAAAATCCCTTCCATTTGAAGGGATTGATACCTTCATACCAAAGAGAATCTTTTAGCATTCCAAGTGGGTGTCACTGTTTGTGTTGGCTTCGCTTTATATCTGTCCTGCACGTGATACATCCCCTTGTATTCAGATTGTCAGCCTCTGGGCTTGGGAGATTTGGGTATATTTTAATACTGACATTCTTTGACAGGCTTATCACGATCCCATGCTGAAACTCTCTATCATGTCTGAGGAGGAACTCACCCACATATTTGGGGACTTGGATTCTTACATTCCTCTGCATGAAGGTAAGAGCAGCTGGAGCGTTTTCCGCATAACGTGCTGACGAGAGGAAAACTCTGTGCTTTCTCTCCTTTGAAAAATTTACTGGGGCATCGTTGCAATTTCTATTTTTGTGTTTCGGTTCCAGACTTGTTGGCAAGTTTAGGAGAAGCAACCAAACCAGATGGAACAGTGGAGCAGATTGGGCCCATTCTTGTCAAGTGGGTGAGTACAGAACTTAGCCATAGCGGGCTAACAACGCGCTTAAAGACCGTTTAAAGCTAGAAGGCCCCAAAGCTGTGGGCTTTTGTGGCCTTGAGCGAAAGATTGAAACGGAAATCCCAGCTAGGCTGAAAACAATGGGACTCTGTCAGCCGTAATGGGCCACGATTTCACCCTGGAGACTTACACTAGTGTGACTAGCAATTATTTGCTGATTTATGTTTGAAGTGTCTATATCTTCTGGACTCTTTGTCCCTGATGTGATTTCAATAGCGTTATCGCTGTTAATCTCAAACATCAGAACTTCAAAGGCGTTGCACGCAGGATGCCCTTGTTCTCCTCACAAAAGACTGGCTACATATACAAGACAGTCTGTTAGCTCTTTTTTTTTTATTGGGCAAAATATGGCACAGAGGGAAGTAGACCACCCCCCCCTCCCCCTGAGTTTGACACGTTAATGCAATTTGCTTTTCCTACAGGGAATTTGACTCCTGAATGTTGTTCTGTTCCTCTTGCAGTTACCAAGGCTCCATGCCTACAAAGGTTACTGTAGCAATCAGCTGGCAGCCAAAGCCCTTCTGGATCAGAAGAAGCAGGACCGGAGAGTGCAGGACTTCCTCCAGCGCTGCCTCGAGTCTCCTTTCAGCCGCAAGCTTGACCTTTGGAGCTTCTTGGACATTCCTCGAAGCCGGCTGGTCAAATACCCTCTGCTCCTAAAAGAGATCCTGAGGCACACTCCCAAAGACCATCCTGATATCCAGATCCTGGAAGAAGCCGTAAGTAATCGTGATTTTGTGATTTGTTTTTCTGACATAAGTAGGATGAGGGGTAATGGTTTTAAACCAAAAGAGGGGAGGTTTAAGTTAGATATTAGGAAGAACTTCTTTGCTGTGAGGGTGGTGAGAGCCTGGCCCAGGTTGGCCAGAAAAGCTGTGGCTGCCCCATCCCTGGAGGGGTTCAAGGCCAGGTTGGATGGGGCTTTTGAGCAACCTGGTCTGGTGGGAGGTGTCCCTGCCCAGGGCAGGGGGTTTGGAACTGTGTGATCTTTAAGGTCCCTTCCAACCCAAACCATTCTATGATTCTATGTGATTCTGGAGCTCCAGAAAGCTTTCTTAAACCCTCAGCAATTTCATGGGGTGGTTTTCTCAGTGGACAAAAATCTGTAACCCCTTGTGAAAGCAAGTGAGGGATCAGTCCATGTGAGGGAAGATATACAAGCAGAGGTCACTATTTAATCGTCTGTCAATGTTGTGGTTTATAGATATCTATAATCCAAGGAGTCCTCTCTGACATCAACCTGAAGAAGGGGGAGTCAGAGTGCCAGTACTACATTGACAAGCTGGAGTACCTGGATGAGAAGCAGAAGGACCCAAGGATTGAAGGCAGCAAAGCTTTACTGTGCCACGGGGAGCTGAAGAATAAAAATGGACATGTAAGTCCCTCCTGTTCATGGCAATTAACTCTCAACCTTCCCTGAGAGGTAGTTAAAACTGTTTGTTTGTCATAGCAGGGCCAGGAGCCCTTCCATCCTTTAGGGTTACTTGAGACAATTAGCTGAATTTAAAAAGCAGAAGAGAAAGCACCTGATGGCACTCTGTGTTTGCGGGGTGTAAGGGAAAGTTTCCTGCTGACAGCTTTACAATTGGCCTTCAGAAGCTGGAAAATAATTAGTGCAGAATTACCATAGAAAGTGTGTTCTGTGCCTGAGCACTCCATCCAAAGGGATTTCCTGACAGCTCTTTGCTTCCAGGTGCCCTGACGTTCCCCATTCCGAGTCCCGGCCGGCAGCTCTTCTAAACAAAAGTGTTCCTGAGAAAGCCTGTTTGGCTCTGAGCTGAGCTGCCAGAAGTTTATCTCCTGCTGCAGCGATGCTGAAAAACCCTGCTATACCCAAGGCTTTGCTGCCTTTTTTTTGGGCTTGCAGGAGTAATTCCATTTTAAACATCAAATCTTTTTCCATTTCCTTTATTTTTCTGATGGGTTGAGAGCGTTTTTTGTTTAGTTTGGCCATTACACTTCTGTACACACGAAGCATTTTGTATTGTCAGAAAGGGTATTGCTTGTAATTGTCCTATTCTTGCCACCTGTAAGTCATAATTCACTTTTTAAGGCTCGTTAAAGCAATAAAACCCGTTGATGTAATTGTGGCCTTTGCCACCACTGCCAGGGCCCGACGTTGCTGTAACAGGAAACCCTCAGAAAGTTACTGACTGAAACTTCAGATAACGTGGCCTTGAAAATCCCAGGGGATACGTAACTACTTTGAATACACAGTGAACATTTGTTCATATTCAAATGTGATTTTCCCTTTCAGAAACTCTACGTCTTCCTCTTCCAAGACATCCTGGTTTTGACCCGACCGGTCACTCGCAACGAGCGTCAGGTCTACCAAGTGTACAGACAGCCCATCCCCGTCCAGGAGCTGCTCCTCGAAGACCTGCAGGACGGCGATGTGAAAATGGGAGGTTCCTTCCGAGGAGCTTTTGGCAATTCTGACAAAGGTAGGGACCAAACCAGCCCATCTGTGTGGGAGGAGAGATTATCATGGATTCATAAAATGGCTTGGGTTGGAAGGGACCTTAAAGACCATCCAGTTCAAACCACCTGTGCGGGGTAGGGACACCTCCCACCACACCAGGTTGCTCCAAGCCCCCTCCAACCTGGCCTTGAACCCCTCCAGGGATGGGGCAGCCACAGCTTCTCTGGGTGATTACACCCAGGGTACACCTGGGCATAGATCCCTATGGACTGAGGTTCCATAAGGAGAGTCTTCATGTGATACGTGTCAACGTCCACCTTTAGAGTGTCACTGCTGGGCTTTGCAGTTTTGTATTTGGTAATCATGAACCTACAGAATCACAGAATTGTCTGGGTTGGGGAAGGAAGAATTGTCTGGAAGGGACCTTTCAGATCATCGAGTCCAACCATCAGCCTAACACTGACAAAACCCATCACTAACCCATGTCCCTCAGCACCACATCTGCCCGGCTTTAAATACCTCCAGGGATGGTGACTCCACCACTGCCCTGGGCAGCCTCTTCCAAGGCTTGATAACCCTTTTGGTGTAAAAATTTTTCCTAATATCCATCCTAAACCTCCCCTGGTGCAACCTGAGGCTGTTTCCTCTTGTCCCATCACCTGTGATTTGGGAGAAGAGACCAACCCCCACCTCTCCCTCTTCTGATAGATGAACTTTGCAGCTGATGTTGATGAGAAAAATCGATTTCCACCTGTGTGTGCTGAGTTGTGGGGTTTGTGGTTGGGCTTTGAGAGCTTTTTTGGGTCAGGTCGCTTGTCTGGCAATAGAATCTCTAAATCTTAAGCTGGGAACTGATCTGCTTTTTTTTTTTTTTCTATGTTTATCTCCAGCTAAAAATATCTTCCGAGTTCGTTTCCAAGACCCTTCCCTTGGCCAATCCCACACGCTTCAAGCCAACGACGTCTTCCACAAGCAGCAATGGGTGAATTGCATCCGAATGGCCATCGCTCCCTTCCAGCGAACTGCTGCTGCTGCCACCACGGAGCTGAAGGAGCTACCAGAGCTCAGCGAGGAAGCTGAGGAGAACAACCCCTCGGTGCCCAACATCCAAGCCCAAAAGCGACAATCGACCGCGTCCGGCGTCACCGAGATGGAGTTGGATGAGAGCACGTCCGAGTGCGGCTCCGTCTTGGACTTGGAAGAAACCAAAGGGGCAAAAACACACCGAACGTCGTCCGGGCACAGAAGAAGCAGGGAGAAGCAGTTAAGTGGCAAGAGGAAAGAAACCCTGGTGTGAAAAAAAAACCACCCAAACAAAACAAAAAAGGAGCCCAGACTGTTTATTTATAAATAACGTGTACATTTTTTCTTGTAATGTGAGCATGATCGGGTTCACTCTACTGAACAGAATATTTTTTTGTTTGTTTGTTTGTTGGGGTTTTTTTTTAATGTTGTAATGGCAGCTACTGGTATACAGTTAACACTGTTGAACTGGAGTCTGTTTTTACAAACATGGTCACTTTCAACCTGTTTTTGATGCTGTTGGTGAGTGATTCAGAAGCTGTCGTGCTTTTGAGAGCTCAGGAGAGGTTTGAGGAGTGCACTTTGGTATCTAAAAGGTTTCCATGCATGGTTTTTGAGGTTGGAAACCAGTCAAGCTAAAGAGGATGTTTGGCCCCTCACCTGGTGGCACCTCCCTTGGCAGGGACTTTGGATCAACACGGGGAGACTCAAAACCTGAATTCACCTTTTCTTCTTCTCTTGTACAGTGTGTTGTTACCAGAATCCAAACTTTATGTTAAAAAAAGAAGAAAAAAAGAGAAAAAACAGACCCCAGGTTCAACAGGTTCTCAATTTACCTACTGGAATCTTTCATCTTAGTGTCTTCTTTGTACATTCCTCATTTTCACTCTTGTAACCTGCCAGATATTTAATTATTTTTTTTTTTATTAGTTATTTCAACTTGGGGGTTGTTGTTTTTTTGGTTTGTTTTTTTGGTTTTCCTTGTTGTTTTCTTTTTTTTTTTTTTACTTTTATATTTCATTGTTGTTGTTGTCGTTGTCATTGTTCAGACTTGGCATTTCCTTTCCAGTACTTGATCCTCCATTTGCACGGGCTGTTTTTGTTTTCTCTCTTTGTGTCACTCCACGGTTGTGCGGAGCCCGGGGAGCGGGACGCGCAAAAGGCTCCGCGCTACTGTCAGAGAACCGCAGTTTTTTTGGGGAGGGGGGTGGAGAATTAGGCGAGTTTTGATTTAGGAAAGGTTTTTAGGCACGTGGTTAAGGGTTTCGGGGAGGGCAGAGGAGCAGCAGGTAGAGGGGAGTAGCAGGGAGTGAAGGTAGATTCATTTTTATTTCGTGTTAACGTTGCCTTTTGGAAATGAAACGCCTCCCACGGGGGAGGCAGGACTGGGGGCAACCAGGGGGGTTATTGCATGTGGTAGAAAGGTAGAGAGGAGAAAGCGTTTTGAAGCTGAGGAGGAGTAAGGAGGGAGGAAGCAGAGGTTGTACATACTCGTAGCGGCGACACTGCCGTGTTCTAGAGGTCCAAAGAGATGTGTGGGAGATGCCAGCTCGGTCACTGCGCCGCAAAGCGGTGAGGCCTTCGAGCAGGTTGTTCCTGTGGTGGGACTGGTGGTGATGGGATGAGGAGGAACGGTCCCACCACACCCTGTCACGTTGTGTGGCCAGTAACGGTGGAAAGAGGGGAGGAAAAAAAAAACAAACAAAACAAGAGAGTGTACATAAACTCAAACGTGTGGTTCTCTGTAAATGTCTTGTACAGTTCCGAGTGCCAAATAAAAGGAAATTCCTGACATCCTGGTCCGTGTCGCTGCCTGGGAGGGACACGCTGGTGCCACGGGTGCTGTCACAGGTGAGAGTGTACCCACCCTTCTCCGAGCCCACGTGGCTTGGGGGGAAAAAACTGTGGTTTTATTCAAAACCTTGTTTTGTGTCCCGGTTCCTCTGCAGACACGAGCCAGGGGTTAATAGCCCTCTGGTCCCCGGCAGTAGCCACCACCCTCTGTCTGCGACAGGGAGCTGTAAAACGGGGCACGGCCTCGTGACTCACCCCGGTGCTTACATCACCCTCCTCTCGTTCTGGGGGAAAAGGGAGCACTCCTTGTCCTCCCGGGGCACCAAAACCTCCTTCCACTCCAAAACCACCTGGGGAACCCAAAATACCCCCCGTTTTAGCTAAATATTTCGAAATCCTCTCCTCGATTAAGCTTCAGAAGGAGCCTTGAGCCAAAGGAGGGGGACCCCGCTGGGCAGAGTCCCCTCCCCAGGCACTGAGGAGTTACCATCAGCGTGATGAAAGCGCCAGGTCTCTGCAGCCCTCCCCGAGGAGCTGCAGCCTGACCATGTAGGGGGGTGTCTGGGCACGGGCAGCCCCAGCTCCCAGCCAGTTCCATCAGGGTTTTGGCCCCGCTCCCCAGTTTGCAGGGAATGGGGGCTTTACAGCTGATTTTTTCACCCGAGAAGCTGAGTTTTGATCCAGAGGGAGGCTCATTCCTTGTTGCCAAGCAGGGAAAAAATGGGGGGTGGGGTGGGGAAAGAAAGGCATTAATGAGGTGTCGGGGCACACGGCGAGGAGATCCTGCTGAGATCCTGCTTCTCCTCCCACACATCAGGCTGGGGCTGAACCTTTGTCTCCTCGTCCCGTAGCCAACAGTCGGCAAATTAGCCAAGAATTTAATTTCCCCCCCTCATCCCCGCGCCGTCCCTCCGGGAGGAATGTGCAGACTAAACAAGCCGGGCTTTCCTGGTTTCCTCCCGTGCTGAGCTCCAGCAGGTCCTGGCCAACCTTCTCCTCACCCACCCTGAGCCAAGAAACCCCCCCTCCCCAAAACTATGGGGGGACCCTGGGACGCAGCAGGGTGAAACACCCAAGGGGGGGACACGGGCCAGCGCGTGTCACTGAGTCTCTACCTTCTTGGTGACCCTGGATGTAGTGATGTCCCCATGGTGGCCAGTGAAAGGGAAGGTGACTAGAAAAGCTGGACTTCTGGAGCTGCCCTGCAGCCCCTCTCCCTCAGCTTTGTAAACCTCCCTCAAAATCGTGCCTAAAATTAAACAGAACCCCCCCAAATTTTACACCCACCTTCTTACCATCCCCTGAAGACCCCCCTTGCCCCAGGGACGCCCATGGGACCGGGTGGCCTCGGCACCCCTGGGCTCGCATGGGGCCCCACGGAGGTTTCCCCACCGAAGCCGTTTCCAGTTCTGCCTCCCAATTTCTCTTTTTCCATGGATTTCGTCAGCCCCCGCCCCCCCCCTCCCCAGCCCTGTCTGCAAACCCAGATGTGGCCGCCACACACATCTGTGCACATCTGGGCTGGCGTGTGGAGCCACGCAGGAGCGGCCTGACCCAACCGGGTGCTTTGAAACCACCTGGGATGGGGGTTTCCTTCACCATTACCTGGATCAAGGTGTCTCAAAGCTGGAGGCTGAGGTTGAGAAGGGCAAGGGCACCTGGAAAACCATAGAATCACGGAATGGTTTGGGTTGGAAGGGACCTTAAAGATCATCCAGTCCCAGCCCCCCTGCCCTGGGCAGGGACACCTCCCACCAGACCAGGTTGCTCCAAGCCCCCTCCAACCTGGCCTTGAACCCCTCCAGGGATGGGGCAGCCACAGCTTCTCTGGCCAACCTGGGCCAGGCTCTCACCACCCTCACAGCAAACAAGTTCTTCCCCACATCTCATCTCCATCTCCCCTCTTTCAGGGTCAAACCCTTCCCCCTCCTCCTATGGCTCCCCTCCCTCATCCAGAGTCCCTCCCCATCTCTCCTGGAGCCCCTTGAGGGACTGGAAGGGGCTTTAAGGTCTCCCCAGAGCCTTCTCTTCTCCAGGCTGAACCCCCCAACTCTCAGCCTGTCCTCCCAGCAGAGGGGCTCCAGCTCATGGAGCATCTCCGTGGCTTCCCCTGGCCCCACTCCACCACGTGAGGCTTTAACATCGGCCTCTTGCACCCTCCTTCATCAAAGCATTGATCCCTCCAGCTCTGGTTGGAGAAATCCCCAGGGAAACCAGCTGCCAAAGACCCATCAGCTGGTGGCTACGTGCTCCTGCCTCCTACGGTGGTGGCCTCACTGCTGTCCTGTCCTACCCTATAGCCCAGCTCGCGTGCCGTAAACAGGGCTCCACCATAAACCGCAGGATTTTATGGGCCAGCAGGCAGTTTTATGAGGTTAATTACCCTGCCATGCTAACAAGGGTGCAGTTAATCACAGTCAAAATCAAGGGTTGGCTTGACCTTCTCCTAAAGACTGCTGGAACCGTGAGAGGCAGTGGGTGCTGGTGATGGAGAAGTGATGGGTGCTGGAGAGGTGATGGGTGCTGGTGATGGAGGTAACGAGGAGGTGATGGGTGCTGACAGTTGGTGCTGGTCATGGGGAGGTTTTGGGAAGGTCATGGGTGCTGATGATGGGTGCTGGTTATTGGGAGTTGACAGGTGCTCATGATGGGGAGATCATGAGTGATGAGGACGAGATGGGTGCTGACAATAGGTGCCGGTGATGAGGAGGTCATGGGTGCTGGTCATGGGAAGGTACTGGGTAGGTGATGGGCACTGGTGATGAGAAGGTCATGGGTGCTGGTCATGGGGAGGTGACAGGTGCTCATGATGGGGAGATCATGGGTGCTGGTGGTTGGGAGGTGATGAGAAAGTGAAGGGGGACATGATGGCTGCTGACAATAGGTGCTGGTGATGGGCACTGGTGATGAGAAGGTCATGGGTGCTGGTCATGGGGAGGTGACAGGTGCTCATGATGGGGAGATCATGGGTGCTGGTGGTGGGGAGGTGATGAGAAAGTGATGGGGACATGATGGCTGCTGACAATGGGTGCTGGTGATGGGTGCTGGTCACGGGGAGGTAATGAGGAGGTGATGGGTGCTGGTGATGGGAAGGTCATGGGTGGTGACGATGAGTGCTGGTGACGTGGAGGTGATGGGTGCTGGCAATGGGGATGTGATGGGGAAACAAATCACCCAGTAGCTTCCAGCTTCGCTCAGCACCAAGGGACACCCAGGAAGGAGCAATCCCTTCCTCCGTAGCGAAGTCACCCAGGGTCCCCCCAACCAACCCACCTTTGTTTTGGAGCCCAAACGACTCTCCCCATAGCTTGAAAAAGCACCTTAATCCTCCCCAGGCTTTGAAAACACCCCTTTATCTCTTGATGTTTGCTTCTCCCAGCTGGGTTGGAGCCAGCTCCTCCTACTCTTGGCTCCTCGCTTGGCTTCCCCGGGGGCTTCCTCACAGCCATTTTGATTCGTTCTTATTAAATTTGGAGCGGAACAGCAAGTGCGGGCAATTAGACAGACAATTAAGGAGCAGCTCGTTGCACAAGAGGAGCTGCTGGGACCTCCTCCTCCCCGAAACGCGCTGGCGGGACGAGTAGTGCCCTGCCTCTTGCCAGACAGGTTCCCAGCACGGCTGGGCCGAGTCCTCCCACCAACTGCAGTGATTTACATGCCCCGAGTTTTTTCCAGATGAGGTTTTCCTCAAGATGTTGATCCCCTCCCAGACTTTGTCCCACCTGGAGGCCCCATTTCCCATTCGTTCCTCAGTTGTCCCACGGGTTGGCTTCAGTTTCGTGGCCTTCCTGCAAATCCCACAGCTGTAAATACCTCACTGGGTTAAACTGGGGCAAACTGGTAGCGTTTTCTTGTAGCCAAGAAAGTCAAGCTCTCTTTTGCTTGCACCTGATCATTTGGCCCATTAGGTCCTTGGCCCAGCTGGTGACAGTCACTTGGCTGGTGTGGGCACATAGGAAAGAGGGAGATGGATGGATGGATGGACAGATGGACAGATGCATGGGTGGATGGTTGGTGGGATAGATGGGCAGTTGGCTGGATGGATGGTTGGGCAACTGGATATATAGGTGAATGGACAGATGAGTGGATGGATGATAGCATGGTTGGGTTGATGGATGCACACGTGGGTGGGTGGGTGGGTGGCAGGGTGGGTGGTTGGTTGGTGGGATGGATGGACCATAACATGGTTAGGTGGATGGATAGATGGACATATGGATGGGTGGGTGGGTTGCTGAGTGGCTGGTTGTTGAGATGGAGGGGTGATGACATGGTTAGGTGGATAGATGGACATATGCATGGATGGTTGGGTGGCTGGGTGGATGGCTGGCCAGTAGGACAAATGGATGGATGAGTGGGTGGATGGATGGATGGATGGGTAGATACATGCATGAATGGAGGAACAGACAAATGGAGGGAGGGAGGGATGGATGGATGGATGGATTTACAGTAGGATGGATGGGTGAATGGATGGGTAGGTAAATGCATGAGTGAATGAAGAGATAAATGGATGGATGGACAGACAGATGGACAGTAGGATGGGCAGATGGACAGAGAAAGAGCCCTCTTTGTCATTTGCTTCTCAACCCTGCTGTCCTCCCAGCTGTAGGAGATGAGTAAAAACGAAAGGAGGCCATTACAACATGGTTAACCCTCGCTCAGCCCCAGGGTCAACCCCTGACTAACCGGGGCAGGACTCATGACACCTCTCCTCTGATGCACCACCTCGTCAGCTGCCCCGGGGGGTGGGCACGGGGCCATTTTGGGGAGCCTGGAAGAGGCATCATGGTTGATTCAGGTCTCCGTCAGCTCCGGACAACCAGGATCTGCCTGGACCTGCACAAGGAGAACCTTCCCTCAGCAGGTTTGACATGCTACCAGCGTTGCCGGGGTGGCCCTGGGGCTGAGAAGACTGGGGTGGGGGCAGGGGGGAGCGTGTCACTTCTCAACCCCTCCCCACCATGCGGGGCTGGAGGACTTTGCACAGCTCCAAACCCCACCAAAATCGCCTTAAAATAGGCAAAAAGAGTGTGTGTGACCTTCCTTCCGCCAGTGCCCTGCCTCTCCCTGAAACCACTGCTTTTTCGCAAGCCACAGCACAAATCCCTTAATTAGGGGGTTCGTTAAGAGCCGGCTCCACGAAATGCCACCGGCAGAGCAAGCTGGGGGTGGCCCAAGGGGGCTGGTGGTCACCTTTCCCCAAAACATCTCTACACGCTCCACCAGGGTCCAGCTGAACTGTGGCTTGGTCTCTCCAGCGTGCCCCAGCTCCTGCCTCCTCCTCCTCCTCTGCTTCCTCCTCTTCTTTCTGCTTCCTCCTCCTCCTCCTCCTCCTCTAGGGAGAGGCACGTTGGAGGGAGGAGGCCCCATCCCCGCCTCCCCGCCGGCGCCACGACGTGCCGGGGCAGAGCATCGGTAGGAGCCGGGGAGCGCCATGGCCGAGCGGCTGTCGGAGGAGAAGATCGCCGAATTCAAGGAGGCTTTTTCCCTTTTTGACCGGGATGGAGATGGTTGCATCACCACCAAGGAGTTGGGCACCGTCATGCGCTCCTTGGGCCAAAACCCCACCGAAGCGGAGCTGCAGGACATGGTGGGGGAGGTGGACGCCGACGGCAGCGGCACCATCGATTTCCCCGAGTTCCTCTCGCTGATGGCGAGGAAGATGAGGGACACGGACAGCGAGGAGGAGATCCGGGAGGCTTTCCGTGTCTTCGATAAGGATGGCAACGGTTACATCAGCGCGGCGGAGCTGAGGCACGTCATGACCAACCTGGGCGAGAAGCTGACGGACGAGGAGGTGGACGAGATGATCAAGGAGGCCGACTGCAACAACGACGGGCAGGTCAACTACGAGGAGTTCGTGAGGATGATGACGGAGAAGTGAGACCCCCTCCCAGCACACTACCCACCTCCAACCCCCCATCTCTCAGGTAACTCGCTGGGATGCACCTTCGCGCCCAACCCCAAGTGCACGGGAAGTCCCTGACCATGGGGGTCCACCCCAAATCTTTCATCTCCCCTGGTTCCTACCACCTCCTGCCCTGCGACTATTGCTGGTGGTTGGAAAAAAAAATCAATCTTCATGGTGCTTTTTTTTAATTTTTCCTTCATTTTTTCATAGGGAACTGAGATTGTGGTTGTCCCCCAGCCCCTCCATCCCCTACCACCTTCTCTCCACCACCCCCAGCTGGAAAAAAAAGTCCTCTTTTATCCCATCTGGAGCATCATGAGCCAGTGTCTGCGTTGGATGCGGGCGTCCCACCTGGCAGGATGGGGCTTGGGTTGCAGATGGACACGGTGGGGGGTGGGGGACGGGGGGTGTCATTCCCTGTTGCCCTCCACGAGATGCACCTCTTGAGTCCACAGAGGTGCTGGTGGCCACCACACGTCCCCCGGCACTGCACCGAGTCCAATAAAGAAATGTCCCCCCCCCAACAGCTGCCAGTGCTTCCTTCAGCTTCTCCTTGGGGTCCCTGCTAAAAAACAACCCCCTCAAATCACCAACATGGGTCTATCCTGGCCAGGATCAAGCCCCACATCACCCCCATCCTCTTTCCCCCCATCCTTCTTCCCCACAAGCTGGAAAAAATGCCTCTTGTGGGTGTTGGGCACCATCCAGCCCCAGCCCCACCAGGTTGTGGTTGTCCCCACCCCAAATCCCCATCGCTTTTTGGGTCTGCTGGGGTGTTGGGGGCCCTTTTCTCCTCCCCAAGCAAACAGGAGATGGATTTTTAGCCCTAATCCTCCTCCCAAAGATAAGTAGAGTGGGATTCACCTTTCCTGGCTGTAATCCACCCCGTCGTGTTCCCCGTGACTCAGTTTCCCCACAAAGAGAGTGAAACCCAATTGCAGCAGCCCTGGCGGTTCCCTCCGTGGAGGGGGGGTTGAATTAAAAATTAATTATAACGTGTCTTCTTAACGCTCAGTCACTAATGAGCAAACAGGGAGGTGGCACGAGCAGGGCACAGCTGTTTCACAGGGGACACCGCATCTCTGGGGATGTTGAGGCCACCACCAGGAGGACTTCACCCCCTCCATTTTCCACCCCTAGGGCTGGGATCTTTGGCAATCCCGGTTGTTTTCCCAACTCTGGGAAAACCAGGCAGGTGCCTGCACGTCGGGTGGTGGGGCTGAGCTCGCCCACGCTCGCTCCACCCCAGGCAATGGCCTTCAGCACCCAGCGCCGTTTGGGCCTCCCCCAGTTCAAGGAGGATGGGGGGAGAGAATCCAGTGGAGGCTACAAAGATGATCAAGGGATTGGAGCATCTCTCTGCTGAGGAAAGGCTGAGAGAGCTGGGGCTGGTCAACCTGGAGAAGACTGTGAGGAGATCTCATCAATGCCACTGAGCAATGTCTCAAGGGTGGGTGGCAAGAGGATGGGGTCAGGCTCTTCTCAGTGGTGCCCAGTGACAGGGCAAGAGGAAACGGGCACAAGCTGGAACACAAGAAGTTCCATCTCAACATGAAGAGGAACTTCTTCATGGTGGAGGATATGGTGTAGGGGAGAAATTTAGAGTAGGGTAGATGGTTGGACTCGATGATCCTGAGGGTCTCTTCCAGCCTAGATGATTCTGTGATTCTGCAATTCTTTTCTTTGAGGGTGGCAGAGCCCTGGAAGAGACTGCCCAGAGAGGTGGTGGAGTCTCCTTCTCTGGAGACATTCAAACCCCACCTGGCCACGTTCCTCTGGGACCTGCTCTGGGTAGACCTGCTTTGGCAGGGGGTTGGACTAGATGATCTCCAGAGGTCCCTTCCAACACCGTATGATTCTATGATCTCTTGAAGGTTGATGGTGACCACCTTGGCCACCCTATGGCTGCTGCAGGTCTTCATCCAGCTCCTGGGGGGCTCAGGGTCCCCTGAGGTGTCTGGAAAACCCTCCCAGGGCCTGCAAACACCTCATCTGATTTAACCACCACCCCCAGCTGGCTGGTCTGGAGCCACATCTGCCCACCCTTTGGTGCTGGAAACCCAGCCATCACCGGGCACCTGGGGGCCATCACCTGGTTGTGTTCCAACCCCTGCCATTCTGTGATTCACCACGTGCTGCCCTCTCGCTCGCGCACCCAACGTGCCCCACAGCCCTGCAGGGCACACGAGCAGGGCAAAAAACAGGCCAAAAAAAATAAATTCCTCCAATCTAGCAAGATTGGAGCCACATCTGCCCACCCTTTGGTGCTGGAAACCCAGCCATCACCGGGCACCTGGGGGCCATCACCTGGTTGTGTTCCAACCCCTGCCATTCTGTGATTCACCACGTGCTGCCCTCTCGCTCGCGCACCCAACGTGCCCCACAGCCCTGCAGGGCACACGAGCAGGGCAAAAAACAGGCCAAAAAAAATAAATTCCTCCAATCTAGCAAGATCCAAGAGAAACCAAGAGGTCACATCAGGTTATCCTACCCGAGCCGCTAAAATTAGACCTTCCCAAAAACACCATTATTTATTAATGCCTCGTTTCGACGTAAAAGCCATGCCCTGTATTTTTAGGCTTGACCTTTTCTCCTTCTATTCTGGGGTTGTTTTAATTACCGGAGTGTTTTTTTTTTTTTTTTTCACGCCACTTAATCCTGAGCTGGTGTTTCTTAACGACGGGCTTTAACGGGAGGCTGGAGCCCAGCCAGAAACATCAGCCCCAGCAACAGCCCGGAGAAGAAAGCTTATTTGTGGATTTGCCCGTTTCTCCCTCAATTTGATGCTCAGGAGCACAGAGGGAAGGTTTCCACCAGCATCACTCAGGATGGACAGACAGAGGGATGGGAGGGTCTTGTTGGCTTCAGCATTGCCCAAGGAGGGGATTTTGCTTCCCAAATCCAGGTTTTGAGGCCCAAATCACCCCACTGGAGATGAAGGACCCATCCCGGACCTTACACGCTGCCTCCCCCAATGTGGGGCAGTTCCATGACACACAGGGCGGTTTGAATTGGGCGTTGATTAATGATTAAATTAATTGAGCAGATACAGGCGATGCACATGATGCCTGGGAGGTGGAGCGACCCCTGCAGGGTGGAAAGGGGAGACCATGGGGGGCCAAGGAAGGGGGTGGAACTCGAGGATCTTTAAGGTCCCTTCCAACCCGAACCATTTGATGACGCTATGATAAGAGAGACCAGGCATTTTCACCCCAAAACCTGGTCAGATGGTCACTTGAGCCTGGGGATGAAGATCTCAGGGTGGGACCTGGGGTAGGGGTCACCAGGGATGGGTCTGGGGGATCATCTAGGCTAGGATCTGGGGGATACCTTGGGATAAGATCTGGGGGTCATCTAAGATGGGACCTGGGTGAGTTGTCAGCTGGAATGGGACATGGGGAAGCATTTATGATGGAGCATGAGGGATTATCTCAGATGAAGTTTGGGAGATCCCTTGGGGAAAGACCTGGAGGATCATCTGAAATGGGACCTGGAGGGGGGAGACGTGTCCCCCGGGATGACACACTGAGGACCACTTAGGATCACTTGGAGATGATCACTTGGAGGATCACCTGTAGTTGGACATGAGGGATCATCTAGACTGGGGTCTCAAAGATCATCTAAGATGAGACCTGAGGGGGGAGCCACATGGGGTGGCAGATGAGGGACTACTTAGGTTGGACCATGGGACATCACCTGGGATAGGAACCAGGGGATAGTCTGGGATGGGACTTGGGGGTTCATCTAGGATGGGACATGGGGATCATCCAGAATGGGACATGAAGGTTCCTGCAGGATGGGGCCTTGGGATGGGACTTAGGAGGATCTCCTGGATCCAGACTGCAGCAGCTTATCCCATGTCCACCACTGGCAAACAACCTTCCACCATCTTTTGGTATATTTTCCTCCAGCCTTTCCAACAAAGCCCACCAAGGGCTCCAGCATCAGCACCACCCAAAAACAGGGGCCCAGCCATAACCCCCAAATTGCTCCCCTCTCCTTGCCCATCGTTCTGCTTCATCTGGACACTGTTTTTCCTAAAATTATACATTTTTTAGGAGAAAAGCAGCTCATGGACCCCCCCAGCATCACCCACTGTGGAGAACCAGAGCTGCTTCTGCTCCAGTGCTGCTGAATCGGTCACGAATTCTCCCCATTCCCTTTTATTTTAGCAAAACAAGTTATTTTAGCAAAACAAGTTATTTTAGTAACATTTCAACAACTGGCCTTTAAAAACGTATCAAGTAAATGTTGAGGAAACAATACTGAGTCCCCTCTGAAAGGGAGTAAGGAGCTTTCCTGAGCTCTCCCAAAGGATGTGGAAAAGAAAGGTAGGATTTTTTTCCCTATTTTCCCCATTTTTTCACTTCCCCCACCGTGGCTCCCTCCCTCCTCCCCAGCAGTAACTCTGCTCTTAAGCAAACATGACGTATTGCCTGGGAAATGTCACTGCCCCCGGGAAGGAGGGGGGCCCTTAACACCCATCTGCTGTAAAAAAAAAAAAAAAATGGGGAAAAAAGGGATTTTTGAAGCGGGGTTGAGCCAGGTTGGTGGGTGGGGGGTTAGGGGGTGCCACCGAGGAGAGCTGGGTTGGGTTCAGCAAGCCAAGGATCTGCACAGGGAGAATAAATAACTGCACGAAAGCCCAAAAAGCATCTGCAAACACGTCTTTCCAGTATTTAGTCTGGCAGAAAAGTCTTTCTCAGGGGTGTTTTACAACCTGTTTAAAAGTGTTTTGGTTTTTTTTCCTCGCTGGTTTTCCGCTTTGAGGTCATTTGTGAAAGGAGAAATCACTGCGGGGGGGGAAACATGTCTTTCCAGTATTTAGTCTGGCAGAAAACTCTTTCTCAGGGGTGTTTTACAACCTGTTTAAAAGTGTTTTGGTTTTTTTCTTGCTGTTTTTCCGCCTTGAGGTCATTTGTGAAAGGAGAAATCACTGCGGGGGGGGATTAAAAAAAAAAACAAAACAAAACCAAAAAAAACCCCAAAACAAACAACTACAAATTGTCCCACAATGTGACATGGGACAGAGGATGGACACCGGTGCCCAGGGATGGCCAAGATGATGCTGAATGGAGCAATTTGGTGGCCAGGTCCAGGGCTGAGCCTGAGGTTGCACCAGAGGGGACATTGCTTTGGGGCAAAGTGCCTGATTTTGGGACAAGAGCAGTTGGTTTTACCTCTTTTTTTTTTTTTTTTTCCTATTTTTTTTTTGGCATTAGTCCCTCTGTCCTACGTGGGGCTCTGGGTACCACCATGATGCAGATGCCCAACAGCACCCAAGCTGCTTAAATGACACGAGTTTCCTTGGACTCAGCCCACAGCTGGGCCAAAATCATGTTACCTTCTCATCTGCTCTTGGTGGGGCACCCAGTGAGGGGGCTTGGGGGGACCACGCTGGGCTTCCCCCAGTGGGGAAAGGTTCTGGCCCCAAAAGTCTGCACTGAATCCCGCCAAATCTGCACCAAAACTGCCTCTGCTGCCCAACAGAGCAGGGCCAAGCAGGGGCCAAGCAGGACAAGGA